CAGGCAGCTGAGTTGCGTGGAGGGGAGGCAGAGGCCCAGACTGAGGCTGGAGATCCAAGTCTGGCCACGGACACGGCCCCTGCTGGGGGCTGTGGCCCAAGGAGTCTGGTGGGCAAGTCAGCGAGCCCCGGGGCAGACTGGACGAGAGCAGGAGGCCCGGGGCAGCCAGGAGCACCTCGCCTGCCTCGGTGCAGACTTGGTCTGATGACCACAGAGCTGTGATCACTGCAGAGTCCGAGGTCCCCGGGGCCCCTCAGCTGTGCGGGAAGCTGGAGCCTGCTGGGCTGGCAGAGATCATCTAGACCGAACTCCCACTTTCCCAAGAGCAAACCCGAGCCCCAGTGAGGAGAGCTTCAAGGACCTTGCCTGTTGCAGGCATGGGGACCCACGGTAAAGGGGAGGGCGCCCTCAGAGCAGCAAGAATGGAAGTCCCGTTACCCCTCGAATAGGCGCCAGCTCTGCTTATCTCCAAATTGCCCCCTCCCGCCCCCCGCCACACACACACTGCCAGGCGGAGAGAACTCCAGAGCCTCTACTGGGCAGCGGCATGTCCACTGGTTAGGCAGGCCGCTGAGAGAGGGGCTGTCTGTGTGCTGGCCTGCGTCTGCAGCCCTCACAGTGTCCATCATCTGTGCGTGTATTTCTGGGTATGTCTGCTCACTGATTGTGTGTGTGCGTGCACGTGTGAGTGCGTGTGTGCGCGCGTGTGCCCGCATGTGCGTGTGCGTGTCTGTGTGCGCGCGCACAGGCACTCAGGGATTAGGATGATGGGGCCCAGGAGTCATGCAGGAGATGGGTAGCCACACCTTCAGACCTCATCCTCAAGCCTTAGTTCCAGCCTGGGGAATCTGTGAGGGGGCAGGGGTGGCCTGTGGATGGACTGGGGTGGGGGTGGGAGCAGCTCTGTGGGCTCTGGGGAGGCACAATTCAGCGGGCAGAAGCTGAGAGCTTTCAGGGTAGTGAATAAGCCAGCCCTGAGTAATGGTGGTGTGGGAGGCTCCCTGACGATAGGGAGAGGGCTGGGGATAGACAGCGTGCTAGAAGTATTGGGGGCCTGAGAGTTGGCCCAGACTTTCAGCGGAGGGGGAGCAGAAGGGCTAAGATGAAGGGGAGTGGAGGGGTTCACAGTGCGGAGTAAAGAGCCAGACTGAGCAAACAAGGGACTCGATCCCACCCAGAGGACAGGGGCTGGGACTAGCAGCTGCTGCCTGGACGGAAGCCCCAGCCCCTTCGCCCAGAGGCTCCTGAGCGCTTGGAGCAGGACCCCAGGGTCGGGAGGCCTGGCAGCTGCCCCTGGTCAAGCAGCCGCTCTTGCAGAACACAGACCTCCCAGGTCCATGGACTGGGCAGGGGGCGCGGGGCTGGCCAGCTGAACTGAAGGGGCTTCAGGCAGAGACTCCCCTTTCCAGGGGCTCTCGCCTCCCCCTACTGAGGACCATCCTCCTTGGGCCTCAAGCTTGTTGATGATTAGCTGGATAGTAATAATCAATTAGTACATTTTTTTAAAATAGTCAAACATCTCTACACCTTCCCGTAGCGGAAGTTCTGGTAATAGGGGAAACATGGGCTTTTCAGTCTGACAGACCTGGGTTTGAACCCCAGCTTTACTGGTTACAGCGGAGTAAACCAGGGCAAGTTCCTTCCCCTCTGTGAGCCTTGGTTTCCTCACGGCATCCTGGGTTCAGGACTGCAGCAGGTCTCGGGGTTGTAGGAAAGACTGACTGTATTCGTGTAGGAAAAGTGCTTAGCACAGAGTCACTAGAGAGGGACCAGAACCCCTGGGCAGCAGGTGGCTTCTCAGGGGAGTGACCTAATCCCAACCCAAAATAGCCGTATCACAGATCAATGTACCATTTTTCAGAAACCGTTTGATATTTTGACAGTAAATTTCTGAGCAGGTTCCCATTTTCACCTCCACACACCGCAGGTAGGTGAGCGAGACAGCAGGTTGAGGCGTTCAGAGACAACAACCCGGTTAAACCTTTCCCTGCATTCTGACGGCTGAGGCCCGGAGAGGGGCCCGATCCCCCAAGTTGCGCACCCAAGCCAAAGTCGAGAGTCTTGGTCATCTGAGGCTTAGCCTCTAGTGTCTGCCTCTGCCCCAAAGCGCTTCCGGCCTAGACTCCCAGACAGAGACCACAGGGCCTCTCCTGCCAGAGGCAGGGCAGCAGGGAGGGTGACTGCTTGATCGGGGTCATGGGCCGCTGAATGACAGTGGTCAGGGTCCTTCCTGGGGGAGGAAAGCACGGTTCTGGTCAGGCCTGGGCCCCAGACTCCCTCCCTGAGCTTTCTCATTCCAAGCCTCAGTTTCCCCCATCCATAGAGGAAGAGCTTGAACTAGGTGATTTCTACCAGCTCAGCAGCCTGGAGTGCTCACTAAAGCGAAGGTGTGTTCTAGTCCCAACAACTTAAGATTCGGAGCCATGACCTTCCTTCCTGCTCAGGCAATGAGGTCGAGGGCTGGGCTTCGGATGAAGTAGAAAGGCTTGAAGGATTCGGGAAAGCAAGAGCATCACCTCAAAGGTTCCTGCTTCTGTAATTAAACACTCCAGAAGCGACGGAGCGGGCAAGTGCTGCACCGTACAATTCATTGGCCAGAACCCCTCACGTGGCCAATGATCACAGACTGGCCAGGAAGTGCAATCATGACATGTGTTCAGAACGGGGAGACGCCAAAAGATCTGGTGAATAGCACCGATGACCCCCCCCCCCAGAGCCTGCCAGAGCACCTGCCGCGGGGCAGTATCCAACGTCGCAACAGCCCCAGCTGGAGGGTCACAGTCCGCCCGAGGGAGATGGTGGCCCAAACTGAACTGCGACCGCCCTTTGCACCGCAGATCCCAATCAGCCAGGGTGGAGACACCCACGGGCCCTGAGCCCTATCCCTGCCTGGGGTGGGGACTCCGGGAGTAGTTCTATCCAGGAGCAGATAAGAATCACTCATTGGCAGTTAGCCCTTGGAAGCTGAAGCCGTTGCTTAGGGCCTGTGTTGCACTGAGTATGCTAAGCCAAGGAAGGAGAAAAGTGAGTTTACCTTTCTGGAGAGATGCACACAACACGCTGGCCCCGTCTTCTGTTGTTGACATGTGAGCAGTGTAAGTGCTGATTACAGGAGCTTATCTACAGGGCCTGAGGAGAGTTCCAGCCCCAGGCTCCAGCCGCTCCACCAGCATTCAGCAAACCTAGCCAGAGGCTAGGCTGAGAGCTCAGGCTAGAGGGCCCGGACACCAGGTTTCGAGTCCTGACAGGGCCACGGCCACTCAGAGGTCTTGGGGGAATTTAGTTAATCTTTTTGTGCTTCAACATACTCATCTATAGAATGGGGATAGAACAGAAATGCCTAATCTCATGCCGTAAAAACTAAATTAGATGTTACTGCAAACCGAGAGGCCAGGCAGAGCAAGGCTGTCCCGAGTGAGGAGTATGCTGTCCCTCCCTGGCACTAGCCTTCGCTTTCACTCACCCAGTCATCAGACTCTCTCCAGCTCCAAGGTGTGCAGGCTTTGGACGCTCAGGAAGGACAATCTCAGCCCTGAGGCTGAGCATGACCTGGGGGATAGATCAACTGTTCTGTTTCCAAACTCTGACGAGCCTCTCCAGATCTGAGACCTTTTGGCCTCTTCTCTGGCAACCACCACGATGACAACATGGCTAACATTTACTGAATTCTCACCATGTTCTAGGCACTGTTCCAAGCACTTGATTCAGCTGAAAGCAGTTAATTATCACTACACCCTACGAGGTAGGTTCTGTTATAGGTGTTAACACCGAAGCACAGAGAGGCCACTTGTCCACGTCATGCTCAGTTGCTCATCCGGCAGGCTTTGCTCCCCGGTGGTACCACTACCCCATTACTCCTCTCTCATCCCCACTCAGAGCCCTTTTCTGATGTTTTTTCCACAGTTCTAACACAGCTCCATAGCTATGATCTTATCCTTTGAGGGCCTTTATACCTGTGATTTCATGTTCTAGAACAGAATTCTCAGAAGCCATAAATCTCTAGATTCTAATTACATTACCCTTGCTTCTGCATGCACTCCCAGAATTCTAGAATCCAGTGATCGATCCCAGAACCAGATATAACAGAGAATCCTAGAAAGGAATTCTAACACGCAGTGATTGGGCTTTCAAGTCCAGGTTCAATAGTAGAATCCTGGGGGTGGGATGGGGGTAGGGTTGGAATCTAATACAAAGCCCAGTCTACAGAGGATCTTGGGTCTGCTCCAGCCTGTGTAGACACTGTCCCTTCTCACTGGCCATCTGAAACATCAGGGCTCCTCACTCTCACGTGGCCACTCACTCCAGGGCCTCATCTGATGTTCAGGAAAGTTAATGTCACTGCCGTGCCTACCAGAGCCTAGGGCAAGGACACCCAGGCCAGGTGGCAAGGTCATTGGGTCCTGGTCCTGACTCGGGTAAATTGCTAGACCTCTCTGGGCTTCAGGTTCCTGATCTGGACAAGGAGGGATGATTTCCTTGAGCAGATGATTTCTAAGGCTTCTTGCACTTGGGGGATGGAGGAAGTTGTCTAAATTCAAGAGCTGATATCTGCCCTCTAATTAGGACTACTGATCAGGATGATTATCATTTGATGAGCACCTAGGCACCTGCTGAACACCTTACAGCCATTCACTCGCTTAATTTAATTAATGCAGGAAGGCTTCCTGGAGGAGAGGAGGTGGAGGGGCTGTGTCTGTCTGGAGCACTAGAGAGAGGATGGCCACCAGAGACTCCAGGGCCTGAGGGGGAAACGCTGGGCAGACTCTTCCCATACAGGATGGGTTGTGCTTCCCCGAGGCAGAGGCAAGGGGCTGGCCAGGCACTGAACGTAGCCACAGAGCCGAGAGTGGTGGCAGCCGAGTCCCCGCTGACCGTCCCTCCCGCTCTGTGCCCGCAGGACGACCAGGACGACCAGGACGACCGTGAGCTGCGCCGCCATGCGGGCCGGGCCGGGCCGGCGGCAGGACGGAGCCTGACGCGTGCCCGGCGGCCCCAGGCCCATGCCGCCCCCGGAGCAGAGCCGAGGCCCGGCGGCCCGGGCGCCCGCGAGCCGCGCTCGGGGCCGCCCGCCCGGGCTGCCGTCGCCGGCGCTGTTCGGCGCCTGCGGCCTGTGCGTGCTGCTGGCGGGCGTGAACGTGACGCTGGTGGGCGCCTTCGCCGCCTTCCCGGCCCGGAGCAACGCGCCGCTCGTGGTGGGGCCGGCGCTGCTGGCGCTGGCGCTCGGCTGCTTCGCCGCCTGCTGCGCGTGTAGCCGCCGGGGCCCCGCGCCCCGTCCGCGCTCGGCGGCGGCCTCGGGCCCGGGCCGGGGCGGCGGCGGGCCGGTGGCGCTGGAGATGGAGAGCAGCGAGCGCACGGCGCAGGACACCACGGCCGTGCAGCTCAGCCCCGCCGCCTCGGCCGCGTCCTCGGGCCGATCCAGCCCCGGCCCCTTCGCCCTGGACGCCCCCGCGCCCGCAGCCGTCTACGCGCCGCGCACCGAGGGCGGCCAGCTCAACCTGCCCCGGGAGCGCGTCGCCCCCTAGCGGAGCCGGTGCCGGGCCCTGACTCCCCGTCCGGGCGCCGTGCGTTCGGTGCCGCTTAAGGAAAAAGAGGAGTGGGGGAGAGGAAGGAAAAGAAAAGAGAAAATGTGGCCCTATGGGTCCGATGCTGGGCACAGGTGGCCTCATCTGTCCCACGTCTGGAACTTCTGGAAGGGAGAATGTGACAGGGAGGAGGCACACTCACCAAAGGAGGGAGCAGTGCCTTGGCCCTTTAAGTGGGGTCGGCTGGGCCTTACTTGACCTCACTCCCCAGACTCGATGAAATGCCCCCCCCACACACCTTCCATCCCTCACACAACCACCACCACCATGGCACGTGGGCACTGGGAACGGAGCCGCTCTGAGAGCGTCGAACTCCCAGCAAGGCACCTGACCCCAGGGGTGGGAGGAAGCAGGGGCAGGGAGGAATGTCAACCTGGGCTGTCTCCTGTCCCTACGCACTGTGAAAGGCCACCAGCTTCCCCTTCTGCTCCTCCCTGCCCTCCTTGTCTCTACCCCCAACATGATCTTTTGGCATTAATGGGGGGGGGGTCCTGATTTGAGCCAGGGTAGTCTCCTAAGATAGAGCTGGGTTGAGCACCTCACTGACTGGTAGAGCAGGGGGAGCTGCGGGTGAAGCCCAGACAGGGGTGAACGGTGAGCGCGCTCCTCCAACCAGGAAGGCCTCACTCAGTGTGATCTGCACTGTGCCATCCCGATGTGCCTCTCTCCTCAATAAAGCACCTTTTTTGAGTCAAGTCCTCTGTGATGGTGCAGCCTGGAGGGAGGGACTGACTGCGGAGCTTTGGGCTGAGCACCCTTGATTCCGGGGATCCTCTCAGCCAAGTGCTTCATCTGCCTAGCACCAGCCCCTCTTGGAGACCTGGAAGGGGACCCCAGGGGAGCGGAGCATGTGACTGTGAACATCCGTGGGAACAGGCGTGAGAGAGTGGGGCCTGGATGAATATATGAGTGTGTCTGTGCGTGGGGTTGCCTGGCTACACATATGAGATGGGGAGCGTGGGAGTGTTTGGGTAACACTGACATCACACATGAATGTGAATGTGTGTGTGGGTGTGTGTGGTGGTGGTTAAGGGGTGAGTCACCCAGTGAGAAGGCTGAGAGAAGGGCTCCCCAGGGCTCTGCAAAGCCTACAGCTTTCTCCTGGCCTGCCTATGCTCTGCCCAGGCGGGCCGGGGCATCTGGTAGAGGGAGGGAAGCTGCCTCACAGGAAGAAGCAAGGTTCCTGGGGCCCGGGCGGCAAGCGGAGGGTGGGGTGGGGTACTGCAATTCTGGGCCAGCCCCTCCTCTCACTGCAGGGCCGCAGAAAAGCAGGGCCCAGTGATGGTGGCGGACCCCTTGTTGGCCACAACTCCCTGCCCATCCACCTTTGGCTTCATCGGCCTCCCTTTTTATTTCCAGGGTGGGCTCTACTGCTCTTCTGGCCTGGTCTGGGACTCCCCACCAGCGCTGGGAAGGGCTGACCCCCTCTCTGCCTCTGCCTCTCCTGCTCACTCCCACCCGCTGACCTGGAGAAGAGAGGGTCTGTCTCCGTAGGTGCTAAGCAGGTCATCTCTATTAATTCACAGGGATCGATGCGCCCTAACTTTTGAAGCATCCAGGCCCTGGAGCTGATGACCTCCCCGCAGAGCACTGCCCCACCCCCACCGTGTGTGCACGCGCGCGCTCACACACCCACACGCAAGGAAGGCCGCCTTCTCAGGCTCAGGCCTGTCTCGTCGCTTCTGGATCACTGGTCTGCAGCCTCAGACGCCATCTGCTGCTGCCTTGGTAGAGCAGGAGGTGAGAGGGGCCACCGCTGCTGCCTCCGGAGGTGGTCTGAGCCACCCTCCTTAGGAGGAGGCACCCCAGATTCTAGCCCTGGTATGCTAGGCCCAGCCCCAACCCCTCTCCCACCTGCTGGCAGAGGCCTGGAATTACATCACCAGGGCTCCTTCCTCTTCTCCCCGCCAAAGACTTCCAGATCCTGTCTGGGAGCCTGGCTGCTGGGGAGGAAGAGTGAGCATGTGCTAAGCGCTCAAGGCAGTGGGCCACAGATGGATGGTATGAGTGAATAGAATGGGGGGTGCACTCCCTGGAGTCTCCCTTCCACGGCCACCCCCAGCGGAAGGTCATCGTTTGTCCCATCTGTGCCCCCTCCCCCCACCCCAGGCACACCAGGAGATAGTCTCCATGCCCCAGGGTCCACTCTGCGATCACCCAGCCCTAGTAACCACTCCCTCACCCCCCCACCCCCGTACCTTTCCAGGCCTGCCACTCCAGGGATCTCCTCCCCTCACACTCCTTCAGGCCCTTCTAGGGCAGTTCCCCCCTGAGGAGCCGGCGAGGCCTGGAAGCACCCCTCTCTCTCACACACAGCTGGACTATTGCTCTGCCCCCGCTGGTCTGCAGGCCCCTCTCAGGCAGGCTCCAGGGGGCCAGTCTGTGGAAAGTGAGGACACAACTCTGACAGCACAGGGCAGCAAGTTCCCTGCCCTCGAGGAATTTGAGCAGGGATGAGTGACTCTTGCAGGGACACTGCAGAGGAGCACGGGGAGGAGGGCCAGACCCCCCACTCCCTCCCTGAGATTCTGAGAATTGAGTCGCCAGGGCCTGTCCTCAGAAGTCCAGGAGCTGCAGGGCAGAACACAAAGCTGGTTCTTCTGAAAGGAGGGGTGCTTCCTGGGGCCTTCAGGGCTCAGGGGTGGTTAAGTGAGCCCCACTTCCCGGAGGGAATTCCTGATAGCGTGGGACGGGGGAGCCCACTAAGGAGCTGGGAACTCGGATCTCCTCCCTCTCTTCCATTGGAAGAAATGAGGGCAGCCACTTAGGACCATTTTTTACTAATTAATTAAACAATTCCTGAGCCCTGCTGTGTGTCCAGCACTGGAAATATAGCAGTGAGCAAGCAAGCTCTGACCGGATTCAGGAGGGGCTTACATTCTACTTGGAGGAGACGGAAGATAAACAAGTAAGTAAGTAAGTAAGTAAACAAGACAAAAAATATTAGCTAGTGGAAGTGCTATGCAGAAAATCACAATAAGGGACTTGTTGAGTGGCTGGGGAGGTTTTCTCTGAGAGGTGACATTTAAGCTGAGCTCTGACGGACAAGAGTCAGCCACGCACAGGTCTAGGGCAAGAACATTTCAAACTCAGGAAATGGCCAGTGCTAAAGGCCTAAGGTGAGAATGAGCTTCGCCTCTGTGTGTCCGGTCAAGAAAGAAGGGCTGTAGGGACAGGGGTGGGAGATGCAGTTGGGGAGGGAGGGGAGGGGGCATGCTGCTCAGCTCATGTACAGCTTAGTAAGCCAGGGTGCAGGGTTGGGCTTTTATTCTCAGTGAAGTGGAGCCACTGGAGGGTTTTAAGCAGAGAAGTGACGTGGTCTGATTTATGATTGTAAAGGTCGCTCTGCCTGCTGTGTGGAAAATAGAGTGTTGAGGGGCAAGAGAGAAAATGGGGCGGGTTGGGAGGTTATTGCAGTGAGAGATGCTGGGGGCTGGGACTGGAGTGGTGGCTGGGAAGTGGACAGATTCTACACCCATTTTTGAGGTCTCCCTGTTGGAGAAGTTCAAGAGGAGTGAAAGAGAGAAATCTAGGAGGAACTTCTAGAATTTTGGTTTGAGCAGCTGGGCATAGGGTTGGGCAAGAGCCAGGGCTGTGGTAAGGTGAAAGGTCTGTTAACCCAGTGGAGCTGTCCTGGAGTTGCTGGAGACACAACCCTGAATTCTGGAAAGAGGATACGAATTTAAAAGCCATTGGCATATGGGTGGTGGGGAAGCCATGAGTCTAGATGAGGCAACTGAGGAGAGGTGAAGACCGAGAACTCAGAATCTAGAATAGTCTAGAAACCTCTGGATCTAGAGGAGGGAAGGAGCCCTGAATTGCCGAGCTATGAATCTTGCCTAACCTTCTGCTGATAGAAGTGCCTTTCTGATGAGGTCTGTGGTCTAGGAGTTAGGGATTTGGGACAAGTGAGTAGAATGTGAGCTCCGAAAGATTAGCAGTTCCGCTCTGCACTCAAGTACTCACCTGGCATTAGATATTTGTTGAATGACCGAATGAGTAAAAGGTGTGGATCTTATCCCACGGCCAAGACCAGAGGTCTCTGGTAATAGGCTATTATTAAGATGCCCGCTCTGGTCAGAAAAGGAGAAAAATCTCCTTACGTGTGTGGGAGTTCCCCTGAACAGACCAATTCCTGTTTTCTGCTTCTTTGTGGGAGGTAGGGTGACACAGGAATATAGAGCTAGCTAGATGGGCAATGATGGATACGCTTGAGCGCCAGGCTCCCAAAAGTAGGAAATGGCCCGATAGATTGGCTAAGCCTCAGGAAATCGGCACTGCTAAGGAGGGCCACGAGAGGGCACCCTGGGCACATGACAGGGGATAGAGACCGCTTAGCCCAGCCAGGCTGCACAACTTTGCCTTTTCCCCTTCTGAGGGCCAATGCCCCGAGGAAGAGGGGGAGCAAGGAATTGGGCATATAAGAGGTAGGGGGTGCTAAGTCACCCAGATTTACTGACACCTCCAACCCTGAAACCTGACATTATAGCAGGAGGCCTGACTCCGGACAAAGACAGATTTTATCAAGGTCACAGGTAAGTCCTGAGTCCGGTCATAGACTGAACCTTCACCTTGGTCTTAGACTGAGCCCTCACCCCAGTCCATACTGAGTCCTAACCTAAATCTGGTCACACTCTGAGCCTTGACCCTGCCTGGTCGCTACACGGAATCCTGATCCTGATCTTAGACAGTTCTGACTCAGTCCATTGACTAAACCCTGATCTTTTATCAAAGATTGAACCTTGGGGCACAGACTGAGTCTTGATCATGGACATATATTAAGCCTCTATTCTTGTGACAGACTGAATCCTGACCCTGATCCATACACTGAGCCCTCAATCTGGTCCCAACCTGAACTCTGACCCTGATCCATACATTGAACCCTGACCCTGGACAAAGACTGAATTTTCATCCTGATCACAGACTGAGTCAGGTTTCAGCCCCAGAAGGAAATAACTCCTAGAAATACTTTTGAGGGTAAGAGAAGGAATTCTAGGTCTCTGAATCGTCCAGAAACTCCTGGACATTGGACCCCTGAGAGGCCAGGCAGAGAAAGGCTGTCCAGGACATGAGGAAGAAAGGACAGCTGGGCCTTCTCCAGATACCCCTGGAGCTCCAGGTGGGGCCTTCCTGCCTGCTTGTGTGTCTGCGGGGCCCCCAGGCTGGGAGTTTCTTCCATCTGTACTTCTTTTTTTTTTTTTTTTTTAAGATTTTATTTATTTATTTGACAGAGAAAGACACAGCGAGAGAGGGAACACAAACGGGGAGTGGGAGAGGGAGAAGCAGACTCCCTGCCGAGCAGGGAGCCCGATGCGGGACTCGATCCCGGGACTCCAGGATCATGACCTGAGCCGAAGGCAGTCACTTAACCAACTGAGCCACCCAGGAGCCCCCATCTGTACTTCTGACTCCCAAGGAATCTTGGGCAAATCCCTTTTGTTGTCTACCCCTTGTTACCTTTGAGGGACAATGTAAGGAGAAGGTGTCCTTCCATGGACCAGGCCATGACTGAGGGCCGGCAGGAAGAGAAGCCCCTTCACTCTGGGAGCTCACTCTGGCTGGTCACTCCAAATAGGCAAAGAAAAAGTGAATCAT